CACACACACACACACAAACACTTTTCAATATGCTCCGCGATCCCTGTTGAAATGATAGGAGAAGGTCATGAACTAGCAAGATAGCCTAAGTGAACAGCTTACAAATTACTAAGCTATAAATAGTAGTTTATAAGCCGGAGAATGTTGCTCAATGTAAATACCGGTGAATTTTTCAATCTCCGGCCCTTAACGAAACCCCTGCAGTTGTGCCTTGATGTGCAGATGTGTTTAGTCCTCAACAAAAACAAAACAAAACAAAAACAAACAAACAAATAAACCCGCAAAAATCTGACATGAGAGCTGGGCTCTCGAAACCATCTCGAGACATGACGTAAGTTTAACTTCCCCATTACTACCCAGACCAAAGGGTACCCAATAAAGGAAATATGTGTAATATCAACTTACTCTTTTTTGTAGTCTTCAATCTGTTGAGGTGTCACTGGGGTGATGACTGTGCAGTCTGGAGGGGCGTTCATTTGCATTAAAGCCATTGCACAGCTGTAAAAACATAAGACGGAAATATGTATTTAAAGGAAACCCAATGTCGAGCATTTCAACAGGTCTCTGAGGGGAGTGGAGGGGGTGTATTTACGGTTACCCACTACTAAATCAATAAAATGGGGTCCCTAATTGTTCAACAGGTCTCTGAGGGGAGTGGAGGGGGCGTATTTACGGTTACCCACTACTAAATCAATAAAATGGGGTCCCTAATTGTTCAACAGGTCTCTGAGGGGAGGGGTGTATTTATGGTTACCCACTACTAAATCAATGAAATGGGGTCCCTAATTGTTCAACATGTCTCTGAGGGGAGGGAGGTGTATTTATGGTTACCCACTACTAAATCAATAAAATCGGGGTCCCTATTTCAGGGCTATTGTTTTGACCTTGTCCCTTACTGACAAATAAATTCAAATCACACCTGTTATGGTTCTCTCGTATAGCTAGTGATAAGGGAGTGTTGCCATTGTTGTCTTGTACGTCTAGACGAGCTCCTTTCTGTTAATGAGATCGAAGCTGATGATAAGTTAATGAATGATGGCGAGAGTAATGGTGATGATGATTGATGATGATGATAATCATGATGATGGTGATGAAGGTGATGATGATAATGTGATGAAGAAGACGATGATGAGGATATGTTGACAATGATGATGGTGATGATAGTGATAGTGATGGTGATGATCATGG